AGATCAACACTCCCGCACAACTTGGTGTCATTGGCAAACTGACTGAGGGTGCACTCGATTCCCTTGTCCAGATCATTGATAAAGATATCAGGCATACACCTGAATTACAAATTAGGACACAGACATACCCCTTAACTACAAACTGCCTCCTTTCACACAGAAAAACCCAAGAAGCTGGGTTTTCATGCAGGTGAAGGCTTAACTGACCCTTATCTTCCTGAGCATCTGCAGTAAGAGTTGCACTCTGGATGTGGAAAGAGCCACCATCACTAGAAAGAACAAACTGCCAGATCTCTGTGTGGCTGCAAGGACTGATCACCAGTTGCCAGGGAAGGTGTTCTTCACTCTGTGAAGTCATTAAATCTTTTAACAAGCGTTTGTGAAATGCTGCATCTTCTTCCTCTCATTCTTCCTGAATGCAAGGTGCAACAGCACCAGAGAAGACAGAAGTAGATGAAGCTGCTTGTGACTAACCACATCTGAAAGAGGCTGAACAACCCTGAGCTATGACAGGGAGCACAAAAGCACGTACTGAAAACACATGATCCGAATTCAGAGGAAACCATCCTGAAGTTCTCTCAAGTTTAAAACCTACCAAGATTCAGAACTTGCCAGACACACTGCTGGTCAGAAAGCCACCCCACCCATCAAAACTCAGCCCCATTTACATGGAGCTCTCTGATCCATGTCCACTTTCACAGGCTGCAGTCTCCACAGCCAGAGAAATAATAATAAAAGTTGCTTTATGTGTGAAAAAATGCTTTGATTACCTCCTTCCATTTGATACATGTCACAAAGCAGCGAAGGAGAGTTTCAGGTCACATTAAAAGGAAATATTTACAGAATAGATTTTTTCCTTCTTAGGAAAATTAGGGCTCACGTTACAAGATTAATAAACTTATATCAATCCCAAAAGAAACTTCAAAATTCCTTTTCTCTTACAAAATGGATTTTATATGACCAAATTTAGAAAACAGCCATGATTAAAAGCAGAATGCAATTTATTGTTCTTCACATTTTCCCCATATGCCTGTGAGTTTGAGACTGAACTGGTATTACTGAATGCAGAATGCATTCTATATATCCAGCTCAGGTATAACGGGTAATTTTTAAGATTTAATTCACTGACACAGGTCACAATTCCCTAGCTCCTTGATATTTAACTTAAAATATCCTTGTCACTGAGCTTCATTATATCATCCTTTTTTGTTGTTGGTTTGGGGTTATTTTTTTAGAATTTTATGGGAAGGGACAACATCTCTCAGTTTCATTTTTCTCATGGTTTTGGCTGTCTCCTCCATCCCACTCTGAAGTTCATCAGCAGTTACTAAATGCTGCCAATTCTGATGTTTTCTGCCACATAAAACACTATGATGACACCAACGTCTGTCCACCACAGGGCTTTGTGGAAGAGGGGATTTCAGTTGAATTACACAGTCATTCCCCAAAGCATCATCAACAGTCTAATGTCACCCAGACTATCGCACATTATTTAACTTTTCACTAAATGTATTTTCTTCAATACAGCTCCATGAACTCACTATGAGTCAACTACCAAGTATCCCAGGCGCCCACCCCAGCACACAGACCACACAGTAAAAAGAAAACTACAAGGCCAGGACTCAGGACTTCTACCCCTAGTGCTTCCAGCTCAGTTCTCCATACTGCTTGAACTGCCACGAAGTGCAGGGGATTTGCAGAATCACAACTTCAGTTTAAAAGTTGGGTGAATGGTGACTGGTGAGTAACCAGTATTTAAGAATGGTCCGTGATCCAAAAAGCTTGGGAAGCACCAGTGTAATTAGCAAGCTGCGGGCATGTGTGCAGGCTTGTCTAGTCTATAGTTATTTCTATCAGCAGCATGAAAATCATCTGTCCAACAGATCAGAGCATCGTTGGTTCCAAGCCTGCAGAAGATACATGTGAAGAAGTGGCTATTTGTATAAAATGAGCATATTGTGGAGTAATTATTGGCATTGGGAAAACCTTGTAATTAGAAACAAGTGGGCGTTCTTTGTTTGTAAACAAATTGCATTTTGGTTCATCAGAGATGCTCCTTTAAGAACAAATTACAGCAGATGCTGCTAGCGTTTGCAGTGATTGAAAGGCCCCACCTGAATAAGCTACAGAAGGGTCACAATTGTATCTAACCCAGCGCTTTCCTGGACAGGAATCCTGTTGGCAAGGGCTGCAACCACGCTCGCAGAGCACAGTGCCTAGGGGGGCTGCTAATCAATCACACAACCTTCTCCTGGAGGTCCCCTTGCAGATCCTGCGGGGCTCAGGAAGGCTGTGCAGCTGTTGCCACCTAGTACCAGCCTGGCCATGGTCCTGACCACAACTGTTCCTGGATCCCCATGTCACCACTAAGTTGAATCCTCCAGTAGTACAAATTGTAGATTTGCATTACAAGACCTCTCAACAGGATTTTCCACTAAAAACAGTCATGGAAATAGCCTAGTGATGACAAAAATCCTTGCTGCAAGTATCCATGTACTGGCAAAACCCATTCTCCTGCTATGTGGACACACACACACACGCAGACTAAACAAACATCAGAAAGCAAACCGAAATGCTCTGCTTGTACCTCACATGAACCTTCCACCATAAATGGGCCCCAAATGGGAAATCTTTCAGGACAGGAGATCAGGGCCAGAATCACATTATTATTTGTTTTTAAAATGTCTGGGTTGACAAGGTGGCAGGTTGTTAAACTTATGTTTATCTTTGTGTGAAGGACAACACCCTTTTTGGATCTTGTTCTATTTTCTGTTTGTTAGCCATTAAGGGCTTGGGGGTTTTCGTTTTGGTTTTGGGTTTTTTTTCTGTTTTTAAATCAAGAGTTACTGTTTAAATAATACAGCATAGAAAAAAAAAAGAAAAAAAGGAAAAAAAAAAAGGAAAATTGGATTAAGCATGGTATAAATTCCATCACAAACATGGTACAAACACCACCACCTACTGTCCAAAGCAGGATGCTAAATTACTGGCACAGATTTAACAAAAATTCAGAAAACAGACAGCAGGCTGAACCAGGACAGAAGGTGAAAGCGTTCCACCTACAGCAGCTTACAATGGATTCATTATGACCAAAGGCAGGGTTAACTTGCTTTGTCCCAGGCTATAGTTTTGAATTAGTGGCAGCCATCATATTCTGAAGTTCAGCCTTCTCATGACCAAAGCTGCTTCGTGTTGCTATTCACAGTGTCAGCTCACGTCAACAGTAAAACCAAAAATGAGTAGGACCACTTGCTGCATCTCAGTGGATGATCACTTTGAATGGATTAGAAACAAAACTACAGTTTTGTCTGAAATAACTTCCTCAACTTTATTTAAAGAAAATGGCTGGCGTGTGCGCATTCAATAGCCCTTTGTGCAGTACCATTTTCCATTGTTTTTCAATGATGGCAATATGAGCCTTTCATACGGCAGCACAGAAACAGTCACTTTTAAGTCACTTGTTTTGAAGATAGTTCCCTTCATAGATACACCTCTGCATAGCACAATTACTAACTTATTTGCAAAGGCTTTAGCAGAGTATTTTTTTTCTTGACTTGTTTTTATTTTAGCATTTCTGAGACCACGAGTGCTAACAAATGCAACTATTAAGCAACAGTCTCACCTTTGCTTAGGATCTTTCTTCAGCAAGCCTGACAAGAGCGATTTTGCTTCAGGTGACAAAGTGCGTGGAAATCTAATCTCCTCCATAAGGATGAGTTCAAAGAGCTTTTCGTGGTCCTGATTGTAGAAAGGGAGCCGGCCACACATCATTTCATACATCACAACTCCTAAACCCCACCAGTCCACTGCACGACCATAGTCATTATCTTCCAGCACCTGCAGAAATGTAAGGAGAAGGTTTTAGAAGACATTCCCAAACCAGGCATGAACACAGAACATGAGGGAAGATTTACCCCAGCAAGTTCATCTTTTCACGTCACAGCTGAATCTACCAGCAGAGTATTTGCAGAAGATTCATTTGAAAAGAACTGGCATCCACGTACACTGTGCTCAGTAAGCAGGACGGGGAAAAGGAGGCAGCGGGTACATTATGGTAGCTTCCTTCTCTTCCTCCCACCCTCCCTCACATTAGGGCCATGATAAGCACAACCTTTGAAAGCCCAAAGGCTGAGGACTTGCTCTCATATTACAGAGCCAGCTGTTAAATTCTCACTTATTCATCACAAACTGCTCCAAATGGAATCCCATTTAAAAAAAAAAACCCACCCAAAAAACCAAACGACCCAGGAGCCAGTATGGGGAAGAAGAAAAAAGACCATCAACCTGTTACTCCACAAGTGACAAGTCAAACATCCCCATCATCTTCCTATCAACCTGCATCCCCCAAAGGGTGGCTCTGCACATCCTGAAAGACCACCCACAAATACTAAATGAGTAATCTACATTAAACACTAAGAAGCAGAACACCACTCCTAACATTTGACTGGCTGTAAGGCCCTGAAACGACAGTGAAATTGTCTGGAAATGCTCCCCCTCGTCCCCTCTGCCCCCCTCCAAAGGCACTCGCTCACTGCCTCTAACGCTCCTGCCTCTGCTTAGTGCCCTGCAAACCCAGGAGTTGCCAGTGGGGTGGACTTCTGCCAGGTCTCACAGCACCAGGAGTCCAGCACAGTTAATTTTTCCCTTCCCCTGGGCACTTCTACCTAACAAAGCCCCAGCTGGTGCAAGGACTCGGGACCCCAGCATGCCCTCCATCTCTCCGGCTTGCTCCGGAGAAGCCCTGTGGCAGCGCATTTCTGATCTTCTGCACTGAAGGTTGCTGAAGGGAGTGAGGAGTGTTTTGTGGCTTGTGGAGTGGATGTTACAAGGACTTCTCTAGACTTTGTGTCTCCTACGCAGTTGTCTGTAGCTGACACCAACAGTCTCATGTTCCAGATCCTGTCCTCAGGTTTTAGTTGTCATCTTTACTCTTTTCACGGCTCTGCACTCAACTGCTTACTTTTGCTAAGAACACAAACCACGACCACACCACCGTCATGTTTTCTTGCTGCAGTGTCTGTGCGAGTTCTACATTGCTACAATTCAGAATACTTTACACTTAAAACTGAAAGGGTGAAAGAGCCAAAGTCGACGTAAGTTTAATGAAAGCAGGATCTGAACCTCTTACAAACTTTGATAAAGGTTTTGCACACAAAAAAAGAAGCATCAAGACGCTCCACGTAACAACTGTTTGCACTCTGCCTCTCTTTATACACTAATTATTCCCCTTAATTATCTGAACGAGGAAAAGGGCCTGCAGTAAAAATCAAAAGGCTGCCAGGTATTAGATTACCCCACGTTGGTCTATTTACAGCATCCCCTGCCGTATGATTCACACCAAACGACAGCTGGCTCTGCAGCTGCCCTGTATATGTATACGGCCGACACAGCTGCCGGCCGGACAGGATTCCAGGAGCCGGCCCCATCCTTCCCGAGGCATCACGGCCCTTCAGCTCACAGGAGATATTGTGTGACAATGCAGTTACCGCTCTCTGAGTCACCCCGTTCAATAAGCGCTTCCTGTTCGCACTCCCCTACACTTACGTTACCTAAAATAAAACAGTCACAGGACCTCTGATTTTTATTTTTTTGCCGCAAGAGATGCAATAGGAGCAGATTGAAAGAAAAACAAAACCACAGAGGCCTTTGTTGTGTATGTAATAAATGCTACAGGTGCTTTCAAAATGCAGCAAATACTTGAAATGTTACTTTAGTAAGCGTATTAATGCACTATATTATAGTTATAATAGATTACTAACTACAAATCTTTCCTTCACCTCCATTACTCCTAACCAGAATATAAAATGCTTATTTCTTCAAAGTTCTTTATCACAACGAGCACACACTCTTATTGGTGACTGCACAAAACAGAGCAATGGTGTTAGTATCAAAAATATACTGTAACAAAAAAGGTATTGCACTCATCCATGATTTATTGCAACATCCAGGATAGCTGGGGAGCAGTAAAGTAACAAGGTCATTTCACTTAAATTAAAGGCTCATCATTTCCTAACGAGCAGCTCTAGACTGCTGCGAGATGGAATTTGAAAGAGAAGGCACAACAGCTGTAAACATCACAGCCATCGATGCATCTGACACATCAAAGTTGACACGATTCAGTCAGTGTCATCCATGCACGAGATTCCAGTATGAACCTAAAAACAACGATGCAACAACTGTACAAACATGCTGCTGTGCCGGATTCAAGTTATGAATGCAGACAAGATTGAGACCCCTGCTTTTTAGGATGTATGACCTTAAATGCACGGAATATCACTCGCGCACAATTTTCAGATTTTTTGCATGCTACCAACCAGATGAGAAAAGGCTCCAGAATTTAACACTCCCACTTACAGATGGGATTTGCAAGTAAGGGAGAGAGCTGGGCTAATCAAAAGGATTTGTCCTTGAGGATTTTGGATGAGCCAACACATCATAAATATTAAAAAGAAAAATAACAGCAAATAATATAACAGAAAGAACAACATAATGCCAGCACAGGGAATCCCCACATTCCAAGTTAGGAAGAAACAAAACCAAAATAATAAATATTTTTAGTCTGCTCATAAAATCCTTGATGAGAAACTGAAGTTCAGTAATTGATTTTAAGAGGGAAGCTAAAATAAAAGCCATGTTTATGAATAATAAACACTCTGTCATGCTGCTAATTACTCCGTGCTTCAGTAAATCTCAAATTGTGGTGCACAGACCCCAATTTAGATTTACTGAAGACTTCTGGTGATCCATGGAGAGCTGGCAGCTATCACGAGACTGGCTCCACCTCCTTGCTGCAAGCTACTTCGACAGGTGCCCATGTTCTTCATTATTACGAAGACACTGGAGGCCCTTGAAAGCAGCTCTGAGTTAAAAAAAAAACAAAACAACCAACAAACAAAACCAGCAACCCAAACAAAAAAAACCCAAGAGCATGCTGCCATGGCTATGCAAGCGGAGAGCACAAAAGCACTGATCAGCAGATTTCTCAGTAGAAATATTCCTCCTTCACTTTGGTTTTCCATACTGTGTACTTCTGCATACTTCAACTCACGAAAGGTTTGCAATGCCCGAGTCTCCCACCTCGGAAAAAGGCTACATCCTGGCTGTGCCAACAATATATAATGTGCCAGCAGCCCAAGACTTGCTTCTGCCTGTGCTCCGAGCTGGATGGAAGCCTTAACGCCATGGGTAGCAAAGCACCCGCTGAAAGACAACGAGCCCTTTTGTGAGGCACACCGCGTTAGCTCAGGCTTGGTGCCCTACTAATACAGCGAGTCTGCTTCCAGACAGCTCTGAGCGTGGGCAGAGAAAACTAGCGTCTGCCTGCAAAATACCATGTATACACATATCCTCTATCACACAATTTCACTTTTGATCTGCCCATAACTAACTCACGGCTATAACACCACCTGTGTTGCACAACTCTCAGGAGTATTTCCAGGATGAAAGTTGCAAGCACACATTTGCATTTTACGCTTAAAAAAGAATTTGTATAAAAACCTCCCCAAAACATACAGTTTGGGGACTGAGATCCCCTGCTTGGATTTTTTTATCTCTGAAACCGAAAAGTTCAAATTAACATTGAGAAACATCTCGTGCTCTTACAATCAGAAAACAGTCAGCACTTTTAATGCATAACATGCTAAATATTGCAGAAAAAGTTTGGTCTGTCCTATTTCTGAAAATACGTCACCTCATACTGTCTTCAAAGAGTAAAAGAATTGGACAATACTTTTACTTCTGAAGCAAAGTCCTGTTGATAGCTTTCAAATAGGCCAACACACAACAAACAACTTGCAAAACAGTCATCAATCCATCAGGTAGTATTTGAAGTGATTTAGAAGTGTTTTGGGTTTTTTTTTTAATTAGATTTCTGACACAAGAAGCAAGCACTGTTCCAGTAAAATGTAAATATTCCCTAAAGTGGCAGGAAGATACTACCCTGCCTGAAAATTATCGCATATCGTTATACTAAAGGTACATCCCAGAACATGATGAATAGAAGATTCTCAGTACATGTTGTTATATAACAGTAGTTACTGTATGAACACATTATGGCACAGGAATTATTCTTTATCGCTACTGATATCATGGATGGCATTTAAGAAGATAATTTAGTACATAAACATACCTCTGGCGCAAGATACTCTGGAGTGCCACAGAAAGTCTTCATTGTTGCTCCATCCTTGATTCCTTCTTTACATAGTCCAAAGTCTGTTATTTTTATGTGTCCATCTTTATCCAGCATAAGATTTTCCAGCTGAGAAGAAAACCCAAATGAAAGACATTATTACATATAACACACACTGCTCCTGAACAAGTCAATGAAAGACATGAATTTCTGCAGATCAGTTTTCAACCTTGTTCTCACTGGGGTCAGAACCAAGGTAGCTGCCAAAGCACGCGTGATGTAAATATAAATTTATATCACTTTCCTTAGTTCTTTAGGGAATGTTAGGTAACTAATTTGCAGTCTTTGGGTAACTGATCATATATACAGAAAGAACGCAGAATGTAGACATTGTATTTATGCTTCTGCAATATTAGCACCAACAGAACACCAGTTCTTTTAAAAAATATATTAAGTATTCCCCCTCATAAAACTTCATCCCTGCCTTTAAGTGATTTTATGAAACATTCTGTACCAGTAAAGGATAGCAAATGAAACAAAAAGCAAATGCAAGGCTAAAGAACCGCTTCTAAAGAGACCCTTTACACGAGAATCACTTTATACATTTACTCAACATGCAGTAGTCATCCTAGCCTGCGCCACTAATTTTTGAGAAAGCCATCCAGATTTCAGGACAGTTTCCACTGTGTATGAAATAAAGTGCACTTTCAAAGGAATCACAATGATATGGGAGACAAAATCCCAGCA